GGTATATCAATTCAAGTTGGTAAACTCTACATCAGCATTACAAAGAAAACTGGATACAAAAAAGAACGATAAAAAGTTTGAAAAAAGTGTAGAAGAGAAGAGATGAGAAACGAATGAATGTCAATAAAAATATTCAGTACTACGTAAATGAAAAAGACTGTGTACATCTGTGTCGTTATGACTGATATTTACCCGTATAACAGGGCATCCTCAAACTATTGACTCCTATCCCGTTCGGAACTAATAAAGGTAGTTTTAAGTATCTTGAACGTCTCAGACCAACAGTTAAAGACATCGTTGATTGGTACCATATGATACGCTGGTCCCCCTTAACTTTCTTCCTACTTAGTTCTAGTTTGACTAACATTGCACTTCGAGGTAGAAGATAGCTCAGAATGGGCAAAATACGACTAAGTCACCTCAGTAATATGCAAGACTTTTCTTCTGTTATAAACTGAAATAATAAGCAATACAGACTAGTCTGATTGCACTATCTCAAATTTCCACACACTAGCAAGTACCTCCATTACTACATGGAATAATAATTTGGCCTCACTGCGTAAAACCTTTGGTGGGTAACTGTTGCATACTGTTACTTAGTCTTGTTTGAAACAGCCTTTCAAACTTCTAGCAGATTAAGAAGACTAACAGAAATTGTTCCACGTGTGTTCTAGATGGATATTAGGCAACTAAAGCATGGTTAACTAGCCGGTCCTAAGCCCGGGTAAACAGGGAAGGTTGGGCATACGGCTAGCAACCCTACACCGTAAAACCAATCCAACCGCTAAGCAAACTTCAAAGCACAAACAAAATATAAAAAATATAAACAAAACTATTCTTCGCTGGAATCGGAGAGACGAAAGGACGCCAGTTGGTGAAAGCCTTCAGGAAGCCAAGTGGCCGATGTGTCTTATCTCTCTCGATGAAAGCGAAAGCAAACGTGGGGACATGGAATGTCTGCACCATGTTTCAACCCAGCAAGACTGCCAAGATTGCAAACGAGATGAGAAGGTATCACACTGAAGTGTTAGGAATTTACGAAAGCACATGGAATGGGAGTGGTCTCTCCAAACTGTCAACTGGAGAATCAATAATCTAACTCCGATATCGTCACCCAGATGACAACCACGAGTTTTAGAGTGGCTATCATGATGTCCCTAACAGCATCGAAGGCTCACTCTCATGCAGTGGGAACCAATCTCCTCAACGATCAGGATCATGACAGCAAGGTTCAACTCAAAAGGAAGGAAGGTCACAATCATACAATGCTACACTATGCACCTACAAATAATGCAGATGAAGAGAAGAAGGAGAGATTCTACAGACAACTTCAATCAACACTGGACATAACCCCACCACAGTTGGCGACATCACAATTCTAATAGGCCACATGAATGCCATACTCGGAGCGGAAAACACAGGAAGAGAACTTACCATGGGTCGAGAAGCACTCGGTAAAATGAATGAGAATGGAGAATTGTTTGCACACTTCTATGCATTCAACGATTTGGTGATTGGAGTCAGGCAGTGTGTTCAAGCACAAGGATATCCACAAAGAGACATGGATTTGATTTTACCAGACATCAGGACACACTAAAAATCAAATCGACTTTATCTCAATCTCAAGAAAGTGGAGGCGCAAACAGCCTACTTGACACAAGGTCAAGAAGAGGAGCAGATGTAGGTTCACACCACTCACCATCTAGTGCAAGGAACCTTCCAAATCATGTTAAAAGCCTTCAAGAAATTGGTGATAGACCACCGTTGAAGTTCAACACCCGGAAAATGAAGGACAAAACTACAAAGGACATCTTCACGGCAGCCAGCCATCAAGACAAAATGGGAGATATCGAGCAACATCCCTGAAGAAACCTGTGTGGAAGAACACTGGAACTCTTTGAAAGAGATGTTGAGAGAAACCTGCACAGCCGTATTAGGAAGGAAGAAGAAAGAAGATAAGGAATGGATCTCGATGGACACATGGAAGCTGGTAGAGGAGAGGAGGATGGTGAAGCAGAAGATAAACCAGTGCAAGCATGCACAACGAGAAGAGGATCTGAGTACAATGTATAAAACAAAACACTGGACAAAGAAGTGAAGAAGAGTGCACGCAAAGACAAAAGACACTTCCACAACACACTGGTAAGTGAAGCAGAACAGGCTGCAGGTAGTAGAGACACAGACCTGACAACATTGTATCAAATAACCAGGTTACTATCTGGGAAGAGATCAACACACGTGGAACCAATAAAAGATGATGAAGGAAATATAATTACCAAAGAAGAGAAACAAAGGAAACGATGGGATGACCACTTCAAGAAGCTCTTGAATCGACCACCACCTGCACTTCGTCCAGAAATACCACCTGAAGCACAGCCACAGGAATACCAGTGAACACAAGCCCTCCGACCAAGGACGAAGTCCTGAATGCCATAAGGCTACTGAAATGCGGGAAAGCAGCAGGACCAGATGAGATCCCTCCAGAAGCACTGAAAACAGACGCAGAGACAACAGTGGACATGCTCATACCACACCACTATTGCAGAAGGTGTGGAAGGAAGAGAAGGTACCTGTCTATTCATTTAAAGAAGGGCTATCTTGTCAAACTCGCGAAGAAGGAAGACGTAAGTCTTTGCAAGAACTAGCGCGGGATCACGCTCCTGTTCACCCACCTCAAGCAAAATATTAAGTCGCATCATCCTGGACAGACTAAAGGATGCACTGGATTCAAAACTACGACCGGAACAGGCTGACTGGATTCAGGAAGTACAAATCATATGCGAACCGAATTGCAACGCCACTCTATGCATCATCATAGAACAGAGTATAGAATGGCAGTCCAGTCAACTCTCGACCTCAACTTCATCGACTTTGAAAAGGCCGGCATTCGACAGCGTCGACCGAGAACTAATTTAGCAGGCAGTTGCTTCAACACTACGCTTTCAGTGCCATAAACCTTTTCAACCTCATTCAACAACTATATGAAGACGCCACATGCCAAGTAATTCACAATGGGAAGCTCAGTGATGCTTTTGAAGTGAAGAGAGGAGTGAAACAAGGTTGCCTACTATCCCTCATGATATTCCTGATTGTGGCTGACTAGACTGGATCATGCAGCAAACAGTGGGCAGCGAGAAGAGGGGGATACGCTGGCTGGACTGCGGAAAAGAACCTAGAAGACTTGGATTTCGCCAGTGATGACTTGTGCCCGATGTCACACAAACTTGAAGATCTACAGGCGAAAACTAACAAGTTGACAGAAGAGGCAGAGCAGCGAAGACGGGACTTCAGGTGAATATAGAGAAGACAGAGGGGATGAAGATACCCAACCAACAACAACAAGCACCAATCACCATTAGCGGGAGAAACCTAAAGGAAGTAGTCTCTTTCACCTACCTAGACAAGGCAACGTAGCTTCAACCACAGGCGGCGGTAGTGGCACAGATGAGGACGTCAAAGCTAGGATCGAAAAGACACCAAGATAGGCCTTCATTATTTTGAAATAATCAGTGTGAAATCTACCGCACTCCACTCTACTCCACTCAGCATAAAGGGTGAACAACATCCAGATTTTCAACACTAATTCAGTCAACTAAGTCAGTGATTCTATGTGATGGTTCAGAAACTCGGCGCGTTAAGGTAAGCATTTCCAACAAACTGTACACATACGTCACATCAACAGCTGCCGCCTACGCTCACTCGATACTGACACTGAAGATCAGATGGATAGCCAGAATAATAAGGATAAACAAGGAACTGTGGCTGGCTGGCTGGCGACGAACCAACCAACAACCCATCGTCCAACAAATATGCAGAAGAAGGAAGTGGAGATGGATTGGATTGGATTGGGCATACACTGAGAAGGCGGATTGGGGACATCATGCGCCAGGTCAGGCCGTCGAGTGGTGGAAGCCAAAGGGGAAACGACGAGTTGGGTGTCTGAGCCAAGCGTGACATGGAGATGGTGTGAAGAAGAAATGAGAGCTTGCGGGTAGTGATGGAGTCAGGTTCAAAAGACTGTAGAGAAGGGAATGAAATGGAAACGTGCAACTGAGCCCTGTGTTCCACTAGGAACTCAAGGGTCAAATAATAATAATAATAATAATAAGTAATTTTACGTCTGAAACCGTATATTTAGTAAAATATTGATGCATGATGTTATTCCCTATGACATACGAACCCAGTAATCAACACTTTAAACGCCAAAGTGTCATGCATACTAGAGCATTAGGTTCGATTCCAAGTGCAAGTAAATCCAGCTGACAAGTTCCAAATGTGAAAAAGCGCTCATCCTGGATTTCACTGCTAGTTACCAAGATGGATATAACATGATGAATATTGAAGAGTAAGGAGGTATCTGCATAGGAGCCCACTGCCAACAGAGGGAAAACAATCCAACCCTGTTTAGAAACTGGGAATTACAAGTATCATACAACTCCATGGTCTACGTCATTTAGTTAGTCGAATATCAGTCGAGTCGTACACAGCACTCTATTCCGGTGTTGGATATTAGAATACAAACATCAAGAAGCTTCGGAGTTAGTTCTTCTGCTTGTCGGCACTCATAAACAAGGTGTCTCTGCAATCGTTTGGCGACCAATCTAGGAGTATAATCCAACCTTAAAGTTGGTCAGCTGCAGCCTTAGCAACTCAGTTAAAAAGCCTTTAACTTGAGCGGGTTCGAACCATCGAGAGAATACTAGTTATTTCATGGTTGCTGAGCCACTGGTACTGATGAGAACTAACAAGCACAAAACCTAGGTCAAGCAGGGCTTATTGCCGATCGACATTCAACAAGTAACACCGAAATTAAATGGTAATCATGAATTGTAGGAGAACAGAGCACCCCATTCATCCAGCAACTTTCTTATGTTCAAGTAATCCATGTTCTGAGAACAAGTCAAACAACATCTATAGAAGGAAAAACAAAGTACTACTGTTTCGTTATTAAAATTCTTCCACAGAAACCTCACAATGAAAAAGTGAAAGCCTGAACTAACCTGATACGTGAAATCTAATGGTAATACATTACCATAGCTTTGACAGCTCTCACCTAATGGATAAACGCATAATTGTGTTTTAGCATCAATAACATGATCACATGTAAATGTAACAATTTGATTGGATAGTTTTCCGGCAGGAATAAAAATTTGTTCAATGGCTTCATCAAATGGTTGCATTGTACCGCCAACTAGTAGCACAGATTTGGCTTCTTGTACCAATTCTGTTAAAATAAATAGATAAGATTTTAAAGCCATAATTCAAATGGAAACGATAAAACTGCATTGTTAATATGATTAAAATTTTTTTCCATCCACCATAGAGGTATTCAATAATTGAGCTATAACTAGATGCACAACTAATGAAAACCTGTGAGTAGATGGTAGGATAAACAGAAGAACATAGGATATGTAGTAAAAGTTCAATACTTGAAGTTGTCACACTTCATACTAGAATGCAAATAAAACAGTGAAAGAATATGATGAATGTCACGTAAGTGAATGAAATAAGACAGGACAAATAAATCCCTGTTTAGTGGGGAATATTCCAGAATACATAGATGAAAAACAGACGTATATATATGTGGGGCATAATACCAATAATCTCAAACCACTAAATTAAATTGCTTTGAGGACTCCCAGCTGAGTAGCCAACATCATCATCAAACATCTACACACAAGACCAAGCATTACCATGTAACGGTCTCAGTTGTTACACCCTATATGAGAATATCATGCGAGAATGCACTAAGATGAAACATATAGATAAAAGAAAGTCGAAACTGAGGATAAACACTCATCAATGAAATTCGATGGTGACCAGGCTATATCGTGAGTTAACATAAGGAAGAAACTGTGAACCAGTGAACTCTGACCAAGTAGTCCATCGATCCAAATCAACATAGGACCAGGCATTACTGCATAACAGTCCGAGTTGCCTGCCACACCTCATATCAGTACATCAAGTAACAAGCCAGTGAAGTGCAAGATGAAGTTAAGAAAATTCAGTCAAAAGAAATACAAAGTACGAGAAGAAAGGAAAGAGGAGTGACAAAATGGTGAGATTCGGTATAGCGTCGTCAAGATGACAATAATGTATGTGGGGATAAATCTGCACCACTCACATCGGTTCTCAGCCATGCCATCAACTAGAGTCTCCAACCACTAGTTCCTCTTATCCCATACACCCCAACCGCCTAGTCTGCATCACCACACATGGCTCAAACCAACACTCAAACACTTCATACATTGGTGCTGTGTTTTACTCTGGCCACCTCGGGCCTTTTTCCAGCATGAACCCACTTCGACCAACATTGTGTGACGAGGCAATCGGTGACTAGGCATACGTAATATATGTCTCAACCATCTCAGTCGATAAAGCTTCATAACCTCGTCAACTGATTTACCTCTACTCCCCAAAACTCTACACCTAACTTCTGCATTACTCACCTTGCGACACCACAGAACACGCCCTATACTATGAAGGCAATGGTGGTCAAACACCTGAAGCCAGTCTTCTCATGTATTCCACCTTCAATCGCCATGTTTACCAGTTATACAATAGAACAGAGGGGACTGCTGTGCAGTACACGCGACCCTTAATAGATAACCAGATATCACGACGGCGACATAGGTGGTGTAAATTGGTGAAAGCCGGCAGAGCCTTTTGTATACGTTCAGAGATTTCATCGGTCACTGAGCCACTAGGGCAGGGCTGATCCTATTTCCCAGGAAAGTGAAGTGGTCGACACACTCAATCATTACATTGTCTATTGTTAGCCGCGGTGGGGCACGGTTGAAGACCAATTGTGGAGCAATAATTTGCATTTCGGTGATGAGAACCGCATCTCAAACATTCTCAAATACCCACTCAAAGTGTTCAGAAGACTCTGCATCTTGTCAAAGTCTTCACCTTACAGGATTATGTCATCTGCATATTCTAGGTCTAACGAAAATTTTCTCGCGATTAGGTCAACTTCTGTTTAGTCAGGTGACGAGAGGGAGACCTCCATATGAATATCTAAGATAAAATTCCAATAGGAATGAAGACAGTGGGCACCCTTGACGGACATCACTCGATGAGCATAGCTCCCTGAACATCTCACCATAGGCTCTGACACGCCCACAAGTGTTCGAGTAGAGAGCCTTCAATAAGGTGATGTACTTACTCGGTACGCCTTTCAGTGGAAGACATCGCCATAAGACTTTTCGATCAACGGAATCGAACGCCGCCGCCTTCACGTCGAGAAATATAGCTAGCGTTCGGCGTCGGTAAGCGGTTAAGTGCTGACATCCTGGCAACAAAACCTGAGTGTGATGTATTTGATCCCTCGACCGGCCATCGGTGCGCACTGCCGAGGAATCCCATACTATGACGAAACAGCTAGTAAGTGCTTCAAGGTTTCCAGTGGTTTTCCAGCTGATGTCCGTTCATGATGAATACCAACTTGAAATTAAAAAGAATCGATCAAAAGTTATAAAAAGAAAGGGAGGAGGAATAAGAAAATACTAAATTTAGCATGACGACTAAGATGAGGATAATAAGTAGACATTGTGCTGCAGTCTGTTCTTTCATTGAGACATGACGGCTGAAGGAAAAATAGATGAAATGGCCACAGGTTTTTGAGATGGATATGTACTTCACATATCATATCTCCAAGCGCCAAGCTGGACCAGGGGGAATTCAATCAAGTTGGAAAACGTCTCACGCTAGCTAAATCGAGACGTGGCATCAGTCGATGAATTCCATGACTGCTGGTTTGAGTTGTGGTACAAAGTAAAGAGTGACTGTGGTCCGCAAGACTATAAGAATCAGTGGTTGAAAGATCTTGATGACATGGCCGAAATTCAGTGACAGAGGAGTAGATGTATTTGCTCTCTGACGTCTTCCAAAGCATATATATTCGCACTAACCTTCATCTTCGGATTGTTGATTCTCTTACACAACTATGTCCACTTTGACATCACTCTCATTCAATCCACCTGTTCTTCATGTCCAAAAGTCACAGACTGTATGGAATGGTTCCCCTTTTTAGTCTCACCTTCTTTAGCCTTCATTTAACCCAATCCTAATTCGGTTAACAGTGTACATCGAGGTAGGTAGAAGCTTAGTATGCACAACATACGTTTAAGTTGTAACAGCCCCGACCGATAGCTGCTACCTTGACGTGGTGGTCAGGCTTGCATATCACAATGACCCAACGAGCTATGCTGGTAGAACACTTGTTCCCTTGAGGTCCTACCATACGTCAAAGGTCTGTTGGATAGTGGTTAGACGAAAAGCAGTTACCGTTGTGATGTAAACTACTACACTGTGATGGGGGTCTGAGGGCGAAGTTGTACTGATGCTAGCTGGGTGGGGTGTGGCAGCATAAGGTGTTTCCCTTGGATGACCAGCAGTGCCATGCTGATGCTGCCTTCTCAGTGGAAGGGGGGGGGGTTAGAAAAGGTCGGCCCCCAAAACAACACACTCCATCATACCCCACGGTCTGCTGGGCCGGTGGTGTTGGTTCATTTGTCGTTTCCTTTCAACCATCCGGCCCCGAAAATACTAAAGTTCAAAATAATCATACTCAAAAGGCTACGTGTGACAGGTCTCAAGCAGATGTCCGATGGGCTTTGCGGTCACATGAATCTCTTTCAGGTACCTTAAGAAGAAATAGCCTTCCACAGTATGGGCGACCAGGAAGTGTCAACCGCTCTCACAACTCGATCAGCACTCAAGTTTCCTCAGACGCAGTAATGCCTGGTCCTATGTTGATATTGATGATGATGAAGTTGTATCAGCAAAAGTTCACTCGGAAGCATTGGTAATTTATTGTCCTATCTCAATTCTAAACTTCATTTCTGTGTTTGATGACCCATTTCGAGTTGTATAAAGTAACCGTCTAATATTGTTTGAAATGCTTCTCCAACTGCTTTCAATCCATCATAAGAGCTATTCAAAAATTATTTCGCATTAATTTTATGCATACTGGAAGAATAGGTATCTAAATAATCAGTTGTCTAGGAATTATGAACTCAATGACAACGATCATTTCTTCTAGCAAGATATTCGTAAATAGTGAGGTTTTGTCATAGTAAAAGGAAATCAATGTTTCGTAAGACTTACGATAATCTTAAACTATGGGACTAATGACTGACTCCCGTTTATGCCTGACTAGGCAAATATATATAAGCCCAATAATATGTATGATAAATTATACAATTTATAAATTGATCAATCTATTGGCGAACAAAATAGAATTAATCGAGAAACGACTATCCACATATATTTCAATTCGAAATAATGCAGATAAACTGGTGGTTCCTTAAAATGTAACATCTCGTAATTTACGAATATCCGATTGGAAGAAACTATCCATATATCTAACGAATACTCGGAACGGATCTCTATACACAACACTGCGTTCATCTATGAGCATCTCTTCGAGCAGTACTGCTAAAGTTACACAATTCAACCAAGTATAGATGTTTATATACTAGGCTACAAGTGAAAATTAATATATGGCGATTTTCGATACTACTCGGTTGCGTAAGCTGAATTAAATACGGTAGGGTTTGAACTGGGAACTCATCGAATAGAGATTGAGTGTTTGAAACAGTCAGTTTAGTCATACAATAATTCATAAGTATCTGATGGTTTAGAGAGACGATTTTATTACACTGGGAAAAAACCTCTCACCAGTCAAACATGTATACTTTTGAGGTGAATAGGAAACTACACTGTCCCGGGGACTCAGACAAGATAAATGAGCGTGAGTGTACTCAGCTTTGAAGTTCGCTCGTTACCTTACGGGCTTATGAAAAAATCCCGCTATCCGAGTCAAAATAGGTGGAACTGGGTTTCAACTTAGAACCCATTGATTGAAAGTCAGGTGTCTAAGACAATGAACAATATTTCTATAATCAACTGAAATAAACACTATACATTATATGAAACAGTAGTTACATTCCAATTTTCTTTCATTTCAATAAAACAACTGAGTCAATCCATCAAATCAGGGTCAAATAGTCTTGGAGAGAAACGCATTGGTCGATGAAGATTTATGTTGCACCACCTCTATTACATATACACTGGATAGCTGAATAAAACAAGAAGAACAATACTAGGAGAATTACTATGCATCAGTCGATGAAGTCCATGTCTGTTGATCTGAGTCGTGTGATGAGATGTAGATCAGTGGTTGAAAATTCCTAATGATATGGCTGAAAATCGGTCACA